TTTTTTTTTTGTTTTTAAAAGTTTAGGATTGTTACATTCTTTCCCCCTTAAAGAAATTTAGTTCTCTAAATTTGTGTACCTGATTACTGAAAAAGATAGGGATATTTTTCTCTGATATCGTCTTCTCGTTCTCAAGTCGACTCCTCTCTTGAATGGTACTGCCATAATATACAGACCAAAAGAATCTCCTTGTTGCGCAACACTGGTACCTTTCTATTCAGTATCAAAATTGGCTGCTCAATGAAGGATAGGTCCTTCCTGATCGGTAAAGGTTCATATTTCAAGATATAGGATAGGTCGGGCTGATATTTTCGTAATGATGATACATGGAAGACATTATGGACGTTTGCCAATTCGGGTGGTAACGCAAGTCTATAAGCGACACGTCCGATTCTTTCCAGGATTTCAAATGGTCTGATGTAACGTGGGCTCAGCTTTCCTTTCTTACCGAATCTCATAATGCCTTTTATTGGTGAGAATTTTAGGAAAACTCAATCACCTTCCTCAAATTCAAGATTTCTTTGTCGGTTATCGGCATAACTCTTTTGTCAACTCTGAGCTGTCTTGAGCCTTTCTCGAATTAATGCTATCTTATCTGTGGTTACCTGGACAATTTTTGACCTCAAAAGGTTTCTTTTACCAACCTCGTCCCAACAGATGGGTGACCTGCATTTCCTTCCATACAAAGCTTCATATGGTGCCATTTGAATACTGGCTTAGAAGCTATTATTATAAGCAAATTCAATCAGGGGTAAATGGTCTTCCTAGCTTCTTGTAAAGTCAATGACACAGGCCCTCAGCATATCTTCCAAAGTTTGGATGGTCCTCTCCGATTGTCCATCAGTTTGAGGGTGAAAGGCAGTGCTAAAGGTGAGTCTCATCCCCATGGCTGACTGTAGCCTAGCCCAAAATTTAGAAGCAAACCGAGTATCCTTGTCCGATACAATACTGACCGGAACTCCATGCAACCGCACTATTTCCTTAATGTACAACTGGGTCAGTCGATCCAAAGTGTACGTCGTGCGAATCGACAGAAAGTGGGCAACTTTGGTCAGCCGGTCTATAATGACCCAAATGCTATCATGTCCTGAATTTGTTCTAGGCAAGTCAAAGACAAATCCATAGAGATGTGCTCCCACTTCCACTCTGACACGGGTCAAGGCTGCCACAACCTAGCGGGCCTTTGATGCTCAACTCTTACTTGCTGGCATGTTAGGCACTTAGACACAAATAGTGCTACCTCTTTCTTCATATTATTCTTCCAAAAGGTTTTCTTCAGGTCCCGATACATTTTAATACTTCCGGGATGTATCGTATAACGAGAGTGATGTGCTTCTTCCAAGATAGCTTTCTTCCCACTCTCATCATTTGGGACACAAACCCGACTTTTGAATCTTAGCAAATCCTCACTACATATAGAGAATTCTTCTCTCTTTCCCAGCTTCACTTTTTCTACAATTATAACTTGAGGGACCTGAGGGTCTTTCTTTTGTGCCGATCAAATCTCTTGGATTAATTGGGGTTCTGCCTTAATGTTAGCAATCATACTTACCACACCATTAATGAACCGAGTCGAATGCCAATCCACTATTTCCTCTAACAATTTCATTTCTTGGATCATTAGATGAGCTAAGACTCCCGTAGATTTCTATTTAGAGCGTCGGCCACAACGTTAGCTTTTCTTAAATGATAATGGATTGTACAATCATAATCTTTTAAGAAATCCATCTATCTTATCTACCGCATATTTAAATCTTTCTGAGCGAAGAGGTATTTCAAGCTCTTATGATCCGTGTATATTTCCAATTGCTCACCATATAGATAATGCCTCCACATTTTCAAAACAAATACTATTGCAGCCAGCTCCAAGTCATGAATTGGATATTTTTTTTCATATTCTTTCAACTGTCTGGATGCATATGCTACTACCTTCCCATATTGCATTAATACACAGCCCAAGCCTTTATGTGAAGCATCACTATAAATCACAAATCTCCCACTCCCCTCAAGAATAGTTAAAATAGGTGTTGAAGTTAATCGAACTTTTAGTTCTTGAAAACTCTCCTCACATTCACTTGTTCACTCAAATTTGATATTTTTCTGTGTCAATCGAGTCAATGGGGTTGCGATTTGAGAAAATCTTTTTACAAATTTTCTGTAATATCTTGTCAATCTCAAAAAACTTCGAACTTCAGTCACATTACTTGGTTGTTTTCAATTAACAACGGCTTCAACCTTTGAAGGATCAACTGATAGACCTTCCTTTGATATGACATGTCTTAAAAATGTCACTTGTTCAAGCCAAAATTCACATTTACTAAGTTTGGCATACAATTTCTTTTCTCTTAATATTTGCAATACCATTCTAACATGCTGCTCATGTTCCTTCTGATTCTTGGATTAAATTAAAATATCATCGACAAATACCACAATAAATTTATCCAAAAAGGGCTTAAAGACCCGATTCATCAAATCCATAAATGCAGCCGGTACATTGGTTAATCCAAAAGGCATGACTAAAAATTCATAATGGCCATACCTTGTTCTGA